GCTTGTTTTGTGTCCCATCATGTGGCCTATCTTTGAAAATGTTCCATGGGTATTGAAAAGAACATTTATTTGCTTCTTTGGAGCGTTCTGTATATAACAGTTAATCCCATTTGATCTAGCATATCATTCAGTGTCACAGTGTCCTTGTTGATGTTTTGTTTGGAAGATCTATCCATTATTGACAGTGGGGTGTTAAATTTTCCTACTATCAGTGTGTTGCTGTCTATATCTTTCTTGAAGTCCTCCAAGATTTTCCTTATATATTTGGGTACTCCTATCTTGGGAGCATATAAGTTTATAATGTTTAAGTCTTCTTGATGGATTCCTCCTTTTATGAAGTATTATGAAGTGTCCTTCTGGGTCTCTTTTTTATGGCCTTTGTTTTGAAATCTATTTCATGTGATATAAGTATTGCTACCCATGCTTTCTTTTCCTTTTCATTGGCTTGGAGTATTTTTTTTTCTATCCCTTTCCTTTCAGTCTGTGTAGGTCCTTTGTTCTAAGGTGGGTCTCTTGTAGGCAGCATATGTGTGGATCATGTTTTCTTATCCATTCAGCTACCCTGTGTCTTTTGATTGGAGCATTTAATCCATTTCCATTTAAAGTTATTATTGATAGGTACTTATTCATTTTTTCCCTTTGTAACTGACTTACTCTCTTTCTCACTCTTTTTCTTCATCTTCTTAAAGTAATCCCTTCAGCATATCTTGCAGTACTATTTTGGTGGAGGTGTATTCTTTTAGTCTTCTTTTGTCTGGGAAACTCCTTATTTTGCCTTCCATTTTAACTGAGAGCCTTGCTAAGTAAAGCAATATTGGTTGCAGCCTTTGCTTTTCATACTTGGAATATTTCTTGACACTCCTTTCTGGATTGTAGTGTTTCTGTTGAGAAGCTAGCTGTGTCATGATTCCCTTGTATGTTACTTTCTTCTTCTCCCTTGCTGCCTTGAGGATTCTCTCTCTGTCTTTGATATTTGCCATTTTAATGATGATGTGTCTTGGAGTGGGCCTCTTTGAGTTCTTCTTGAATGGGACCCTCTGGACTTGTGTCTTTTTCCTGGACTTGTGTCTTTTTCTCTCCTCCAATTAGGGAAGTTTTCCATCATTACTTTTTCAAACAGGTCCTCTATCCCTTCTTCATCCTCTTCTCCTTCTGGTATCCCTATTATATGGATATTATTACATTTCAGGTTGTCCTGCATTTCCCTCAATGCCTCTTCATTCTTTTTGAGTCTTTTTTCATTTTCTTGCTCTTTTTGGGAGCCCTTTTCTACCTTGTCCTCCATCTCACTGATTCGATCCTCTGCTTTATCTAGCCTGCATTTGATTCCTTCTACTGTGTTCTTCAATTCAGAAACTGTATTCTTCATTTCTTCTTGCCTCTTATTGATAGTTCCTGTGTCCTTTTTCATGCTGATATAGTTTGCAGTTGATGGTCCACTATTTTCTTTAGAGAAGTGGCAATAATTTATTTGATACAGCAATAAGAATCATTCAGACCTCAGGTTTCATACTGAGCTGAATGGCTTCAGCAAGTCAGCATCTCTGAGCTCCAGTTTTCTTAATATAAAGTGGGAATAGTAATACCTATTTCATGAGTTTGCTACAAGGATAAAAATTAAACCATTCCAGCTGAGTTCAGCAAAAATAGAGCACTGTGTGCCAGCCACTGTGGTCATAGGTACCCAAAGAAACAGTCTCTGCCCTCCAGGCGTTTATGGTCTAGCGATATTACTTAGAAAACAGTGAGGTTTCCATGTTAGATAGATTTAAAGTACTTATATGTGCAGGAAACTTTACATCTAATTGACTGCCGATGACTATTTAGAGAAATAATGTGTTATGCCTTTTTCTAACTAGTAGTTCTTAACAGTTCTTCCACTCCAAGTTTTCATGAACTGTAAGCAGACAAGTATGAAACACTCATCCCAGTTCTTTAATTACTGATTAGAGGTTGCTTTCCACAGCCCTAAGAAAGACCATTGAATTAGTCGACTAGGGCTCACATAACAAAGTACCACAGACTGGGGGACTTAAACAACAAAAGTTTATTTTCTTAACCGTTCTGGCAGGTACAAGTCCAAGGTCAAGATCCTATCAGGGTTAATTTCTGGTGAGGACTTTCTTCCTGGTGTTTGTATAGATGCGTTCTTGCTGTGCCCTCACGTGGTCTTTCTTCAGCATGTGTGGAGAGAGAGAGATTTCTGAGACCTCATCCTCTTCTTAGAGGGACACCAGTGCTATAGGACCACACCCTGATGACATAATAACTTTAATTATCTCCATAAAGGCCCTGTCTCCAAATATAGTCACTTTGGGGCTAGGGCTTTAACATACAGGGGTGGACAAAGGTAGGGCTACCGTTGTATTTGAAACAGAGTCTATTCTTGTGTTATTATTTATTAATTTGTACAATTGTGAACTAGCTTTTGCTCACATTGTATGGATTTGGGCCAGGGGAGCACAATTCTGCCAATAACAAGCTCTTTTTTACTGGAACAATAAAGATTTTCCCATAGGAGTGAATGTTATTTTCATTTTCATGGTTCTGGAAAGAACAAAGTCAGAAGAAGAGATTCAAAATAATAAACATATGGTTTTAAAAGTCATTACAATTAGTTTGTTAGAGATGACCATTGTCTGTTACCAAAGAAACTGTTAATATCTGTTTCCTTGGGATATTAATCGACCCATCTATTATACCATATTTTTTTGGTCAGCTCTGCAGTGCTGAGCATGCCATTTGAATATTTTTAACTTACCTAGTTCCAAAAAAGACTTTGTTAGTCCCCTCAGTGATTGCCAAAATCCTAAAAGCAGGCGCCTAAAACCTGCCATGAAGTGATTGTCACAGTAAAATGTCATTCCTCTGTCCTTACAAAGTTCGCGGTAAGTTGTTGTCAGAGTTCAGGTTGGATGTGAAGGTTGTCAAGGAAAATGTGTTACATTTCATCTAGCACAGCACAATCCTGCCATGTAAAGAGTCACAGGTAGTAAGAGGCAGGGACTGAGAAGGAACAGCACATCATAATGATCGTGTTGGCTTCTCACTTCCACCCAGTATCTCCGGGTAATGCTTTGACCTAATAGTGTGGACTGCTTTCATATAGGAGCAGTTTAATAATTTTGAGAAATAGAGGTCAAAGTCCAGCTTTATCCTTTGATTGAAAAACTGATGATGAGGGTGAGAACAATATACCAAAAATACTTGGTTAGGAAATTAAATTTTACATTGTGATATGTGACTAAAAGAATTGATTTGAGTGACTAATACTTGAAAGAAAAAAAAAAGTTGTTTAGTCTCAAAAGTGACCCAAGATATAAGCCTGCTGAATGATGGTATAAGAAAAGCTATTTCTTTATTATACTCAGAATAGTATGCAAGGTATTTTTTTTCTGTTTTTACCAATCATATAACAATCCAATACTTTGCTATTGCTATTTTATTCTTTATCTGATGCGTTATACCAAATGATGTTGGAATATACCAAATACAAAGTATATTGTAAATATATTCAAAATATATTCAACTATAAAGTGTACTTCTAACATATCTTCCCCTTGTGGAAAACCATCAACCTGAAATTTTAACTGGGAGCCATTAGCTACTGTCTGAAAACAAAAGTGTGTATTCACTTTGCAATCTAATTCCTACATTGAATTCCTACATTGAATTCTTGTGATCATTTTAAAACTTTAGAAAGGAAAAGGAGGAATTAACATTACTGAATGAAGGATTTTACATGTTATCTTTTACACTAACTTCACTGTGAAATAGGTACTGTGCCCTTTTTCACTGGTGAAGAAAAGATTCAGAGGGGTTAATGAAGTTTACGCAGTTATTAAGTGATGGAGCCAGGAATTAAACCCAGGTCTTGGGAGAGGAGAAGCTACCATCATACCATTTGTTCCTTTTCCATTTGTTTGAATTTAAAATTTTCCACCTTATACACATTGAAGTGATTTTGGCAGAAAAGAAATATAGGCCATTCCTCTACCTTTTAGAAACTAGCATGATTGTTCCCTCCAATGTTTTGCAATGTCTGTTATGTTCAAAATGCATCTAATAAATTTCTGCTAGTTTTGAAGGTATGGGGAGGAAAGGATTATCCAACAGTTTTGTCTTTAAAATCGATCCTTACCCACTGTCAGAAAGGAAGGTTCTTTCTAAAATGATGTTTTTTAGTTTGTAATGCTTACTTACTTAGCATTCTTAACAAAGGAGACATGAAGAATGGACTTAACACCATCAGGAGCTTTCTATAGTAGGTTGACTCCAGGAACAAAAGTTGCTCAACAATAAGCATCTCTCTTTCCACTGGGCCAGCAAGCTGTGTTCAGGCTGTGTGTCTCCTTGAAAGAAAGGCATTCTTGTCACCTCCAAGTAACTACTGCTTCTTTCTTCTTCCTCTTCACACATACCCTTGCCAAGAAATATATACCATCTCACCCACCCACCCTGACACACACAATGACAGATGATAGATAGGTAGGCAGGTAGATAGATAGATAGATAGATAGATAGATAGATAGCACTTACTGCAGCATACTTTGTACTCTAGTTAGTTGTGGATGTGTATTATCTATCCCTGGTTTAATTTTGAGCTCCTAGACACAAGGACTTTTCTTTACTGCCTTCCAGGGCAATCTACTTAAGATTATAGGCAATATATGTTTGTTGAATTGAAAAACGAAAAGAGCATTCTTAGATTCTTTACAAAGACTAGCTTTCTTGTCATCTCTGTGAAAGTTATGTTCCTCTTTATGGAACAGGAATGAAATTCTGTACAACCTGTCTTAGAGTAATTGATTACTGAGACTGCTTCAGATCAATACCTGTGCCATATACATAATATGTCGTCAGATCTTTTCTGGATTTTCCAACAGATAATGATTTATCCTTTAATTGTACCAGGAAGAATTATTTTATTCCAAGAAATTTGTGTATTAATATAGAAAATATTAATATTCCCAAACTGTCTGTTCTTGCCATATTTACAGGCACAAACTGTGGGTTTCCCAGTGGCCACGCATTCACCGAATATGCGACTGATGCGATCTACCCTCCTCCCACAGGCATCCAATGTGGAGGCCTTTTCATTTCCAGCATCTGGCTGTCAGGCGGAAACAGCATTTATGGAAGAAGAGTGTGTTGACACTCCAAAGGTATGGATGGGTTTGAAAGACTCTGAGCTTGTAACTTGGCTGGAGACTTCAGTTTTGTCCACGGGTGCTGTACTTGGACTTTGTTGAACTTTGTCATTTCCCCAAGTCACTCAGGAGTGTTGTTTTGTGCAGAACCTGAGAAAGGTTTTCAGGGATAAACTTGACTCTCATCACAGTCTTATCATTACAACTGTTACATAACTTGTCATACCTCATAAGCACTTTTCAAAATCTTCCCTTCTCTTTCCTTAAACAGGTCCTTCTCTCTTCAAGTTTCTTGGTCCCACATAGGTTTTGGATATGTTTAAACAAATTGCAATTCTGAAAACAAAACTATAAGTATGGTGCTAAATTGGGCTTTGCCTATTGATTGCCTTTCTCCCAGTGCATGTGCTGCAGCTGCACAAGGATGAGCTGTCTTTTTGGTTAGTTAGTTATTTTATCCTGTTTTGACATGCTTAAAGGAAATAAGTTCATCCGGGTACACTAGATAAAGGTGGCTTTTAGGATGTGGAAGATGACAGCTTCTCTCATTTAATAGGTATTTACTTCTAATATGTGTTTTATATACTTAGCCTCCTATGATATACAAAGGTTCATACAAATGAACAGGTCTTGGAGTGTGTTCAAAATAGACTTTGTTCTTTATTAGCCTGTGTGAACTTGGGCAAGGTGACTGACTTCTTCAAATCTCTGTTTTCTTTTATATAATATGAGACTATTGTGAGGATTAAGTAAGATAATGTGTGTGATGTACTGGCCAAATTTTAGGTACTTAATAAATATTGGGTTCCTGTCTTTTCAGCCTATTTAAAATAATAAAAGGGTGAATCAGATGTGTATTCTGTCTCAGAGTTTATAGTCTAGCAGAAAAGACATGGTGCAAAACTAAAGATAATGTGCCAAGTACTGAATAAATTGATAAACTATAATCGGTCCTTTATTTTTTTTACCCCTCCACCAACTGCCTCCCCTTTGGCAACCATCAGCTTGTTCTTTGTATCTATGAGTTGGTTTTGTTTTATTTCTGAACTTGTTTTGATTTTTTGAGATTCCACATATAAGTGAAATCATACTGTATTTATCTTTGTCTGACTTATTTCACTTAGCACAATACCCTCCAGGTTCATGTCATGTTGTCACAAATGGTAAGGTGTCAATCCTTTTATTGCTGAATAATATTCCATTGTCTATATATACCATATTTCCTTTATTCATTCATCTATCAATGGACATTTAAGTTGCTACTATGCCCTGGCTATTGTAAATGCTGCAGTGAACGTAAGGTTACATATATTTTTTTGAATTAGTGTTTTGGGTTTTTTCAGAACACTAAGAAACCCTAAAGTACCCAGAAGTGGTATTGCTGAGTCATTTGGCAGCCCTATGTGTAATTTTTTTTTAATATATTTTATTGATTATGCTATTACAGTTGTCCCATTTTTTTTCTCCCCTTTTTTCCCCTCCACCCTACACGACCCACCCCCTAGTATCTTTCCCCGCTTAGTTCATGTCTGTGGGTCATACATGTAAGTTCTTTGGCTTCTCCATTTCCTATACTATTCTTAGCCTCCCCCTTGCCTATTTTGTGCCTACTATTTATGCTGCTTAATCCCTATACCTTTCCCCCTATTCTTCCCCCTTGCCTTTCCCTCTGTTTTACTGTTCATAGTTTTTTTATCTTCTTTTTCTTAGACAAGTCCCTTTAACATTTCCTATAATAAGGGCTTGGTGATGATGACCTCCTTTAACTTGACCTTATCTGGGAAGCACTTTATCAGCCCATCCATTCTAAAGGATAGCTTTGCTGGATAGAGTAATCTTGGATGTAGGTCCTTGTCTTTCATGACTTTGAATACTTCTTGCCAGCCCCTTCTTGCCTGCAAGGTTTCTTTTGAGAAATCGGCTGATAGTCTTATGGGAACTCCTTTGTAGGTAACTGTCTCCTTTTCTCTTGCTGCTTTTAAGATTCTCTCCTTATCTTTAATCTTGAGTAACTTAATTATGATGTGCCTTGGTGTGTGCTTCCTTGGATCCAACTTCTTTGGAACTCCCTGAGCTCCCCAGATCTCCTGGAAATCTAGTTCCTTCACCAGATTGGGGAAGTTCTCCTTCACTATTTTTTCAAATAACTTTTCAACTTCTTACTCTTCCTCTTCTGCTGGCACCCTTATGATTCAGATGTTGGAACGTTTAAAGTTGTCCCAGAGGTTCCGAAGGCTCTCCTCATTTTTTTTGAATTCTTGTTTCTTCATTCTGTTGTGGTTGAATGTTTATCTCTTCCTTCTGTTCCAAATTGTTGATCTAAGTCCTGGTTTCCTTCCCTTTACTGTTGGTTCCCTGTATATTTTTCTTTATTTCACTTTGCATATCCTTCACTTTTTCCTCCATATTGCGACCATACTCAACCAATTCAGTGAGCATCCAGATTACCAGTGTTTTGACCTGTACATCTGATAAGTTGGCTCTTTGTTCATGACTTAGTTCTATTTTTGCAACTTTGATCTGTCCTTTCATTTGGACCATATTTCTTTGTCTAAGTGCTGCCTGTTATGTTGGAATGCTTAGGCATTCACCAGGGCAGGGCAACCCAGGCTACTGAGTTGTGGTGCTGTGTGTGGTTTAGGGGTCTGAGAGGGAACAATGCTGCTTCTTCAGCTCTCCACCAACTTTCAATCATTTCCCCCACTACCCAGAAGCAAATTGCGACCTTCTGGTGCTGATTCCCAGGTGGGTGGGCTCTTGCACATTCTAGGACCCCATGGGTCTCTCCAGCGAACTCTGCTGTGAGACTGGGAGTTCCTCTCGCTGCCGCAACCTGCATAGGTTTTTACAGCAAGAGGTTTTGAGGCTTCCTCTTCCCACACTGGAACCCTGGATTGTGCAGTCTGCCTCGCTCCCCAGCTGTTCCTCTGGTTTGTCCACATGCAAATGTGGGACCGCGGGGTCTGCCAGCACCGCCTTGCTGAGCGTCCTCTGCACCCTGGCTGCCTGTCTCTTCCCCTCCTACTGGTCTGGATGAATGTTTTTTCTTTAGCTCCTTGGTTGTTGGACTTCCATACAGTGATTCTCTGGCAGTTCTGGTTATTTTTTGTTTTTAAATTTGTTCTTCTTTCGATTGTGCAAGGAGGCAAAGTGCATCCACCTCCGCCTCCATTCTATTTGTAATTTTTTGAGGAACCTCCATACTGTTTTCCATAGTGTTTCCACTAGTTTACAGTCCCACCAACAGTGCATGAGGGCTCCCTTTTCTCCACATGCTCACCAGCACTTGTTATTTCTTGATTTTTTGATGATAGCCATTCTGACAGGTGTGAGGTGTTATCTCACTATAGTTTTGATTTGCATTTTCCTGATGATTAATGACGTTAGGCATCTGTTCATATATCTTTTGTCCATCTGTATATCCCCTTTGGAGAAGTGTCTCCTCTGGTCCTTTGCCCATTTTTTATTGGATTGTCTTTTTGTTTTGTTTTTACTGTTCAACTGTTATAGTTCCTTCATATTTTGGATAGTAACCCCTTATTGGATGCATCATTGGCAAATATCTTTTCCCATTTAGTAGATTGTCATTTCTTTTGTTAGTTTCCTTCACTGTGCAGAAACTTTTTAATTTGATGTAGTCCCATTTCTTTATTTTTATTGTTGTTGCTGCCCTTGCCTGAGGAGACATATCCAAAAAGATTTTGCTGAGACCAGTGTCAAAGAGTTGACTGCCTATATTTTCTTCTAGAAGTTTTATAGTTTCAGATCTTACAGTTAAATCTTTAACCTATTTTGAGTTTATATTTGTATATGTTGTAAGAAAGTGGTTCAGTTTTATTTTTTTCATTTGTCCAGTTTTCCCAACACCACAATTGAAGAGACTCTCTTTACCTTGTTGTGTTTCCTTACCTCCTTTTTCATAGATTAATTGACCATTAAGTCTATTTATTTATTTATTTATTGGAGGATTTATATCTGTGCTCTCAATTCTGTTCCATTCATCTACATATGTATTTGTGCCAGTACCGTACTGTTATGATTATTGTAGCTTTGTGGTGTATTTTGTAATCGGGAAGCGTGATATGTTCTACTTTGTTTTTTTCTCAAAGTTTCTTTGGCTATATAGGGTCTTTTAGGATGCACTGTTCTAATTCTGAGAAGACCACCATTGGTGTTTGAATAGCGATTGCATTTAATCTGTGTATTGCTTTAGGTAGTAAGGACATGTTAACAATTCTGAGTCTTCCAATTCATGAGTATAGTATATGCTTCATTTATTTGTATCCTCTTCAATTCCTCTTTTTTTTTTTTCCAAAAAAAAATTTATTGATTTTTAGATAGAGAGGAAGTGGGGAGAAATAGAGACAAAGACATTGATTTATTGTTACACTTATTTTTTATGCGTTCAGTGGTTGATTCTTGTGTGTGCCCTGACTGGGAATCAAACCCATAACCTGTCTGTATTGAGATGACACTCTAACCAACTGAGCTACCTGGCCAGGGCAAATTCTTCAGTGTCTTACAGTTTTCACAGTACAGGTCTTTCCCCTCTTTGGTTAAATTTACTCCTAGGTATTTTACCCTTTTTCATGCAGTTCTAAATAGGAATATTTTCTTAATTTCTTCATCTAATCCTTCATTATTGTTTTATAGAATAATTGGCCCTTTAAATAAATATAAATCAAAGTGCTACAAGACTAGAAGGAAACAGGAAACGAGAAGGGATTTTAGCTGGTTTGAACAGGGAAGTCTTTGGGTCAACCATCAGAGCTGGCAATTGAGTGGCGTGCAGAATATGGGTGGATGGAAACTAGGGTGTGATACCTAGGTAGGGGGGAAACCTGAGCAACAGCAAACATCAGGAAAGCCTAGGTCCATCTAAGTCAGAACAGTAATTAAGTGCGTCTGAGGAAAGGCTCTGTGAAGGGGAGTTACATGAAATACCGGTGAGTAGTTTAGCTTTGAATGGTAAGCCCAGGGCTGTCAGCTTTTTCTCTAGGCTCGGGTTCTCAGTG